GGAGCCCTGGTCAGATCTGACTCTGGGAGGTTTGGGGGCCGATTTTGAGGAGGCGTCGAGGAGGAACATGAGGAGGAGGAGGTGGAGGAGGAGGAGGAGGTTGTGGCGGTGGGGGAGGAGGGAAAAGAGGAGGAGGAGGAGGACATGGACGGATAGGACTCTCTCTCTCTCTCTTTATCTGTCTCTCGTTCTCTATCTTTTTTTTTTCTCTCTCTCTCTCTCTCTCTCTTTCTCTCTCTCCTCTCTCTCTCTGTCTCTCAGTCTCTCTCTCTCTCTCTCAGTTTGTCTCTCACCTTTTGTTTGTTTCTCTCTCTCTCTCTCTTTCTGTCTTCCCCTCACCTCAATCTCTCTCTCTCTCTCTGCGGATCTTCCGTATGACCTGTATATATACGAGTCTTTTCACAAGTGTATGCTGCGTCGCACGGCGAAGTTGCCGCACTTGATGGGCTATCGTGGCCATCTCGCTCAAGCCTCGAGCGACTTCCGCCCCGATGTTCGCCGCCCTTCCCGCCGAGGCCAACGCGTTCGTGCCGGAGGTGGGCCGTGGGCTGAGCACGGGGCTGGCGCTCTACGCGGCCAACCAGGGGCAGGCCGCCCAGTGCCCGGCGTGCTCCTGCGCCCTGCAGCTCCACTGCCCGGAGCTGCGCTGCGCTTGCTCGGGCCTTCAGGGGTCGAGCGGCCTGGGGCCGAGCCTCTGGACGCTGGCGCCGGCCTGCGCCGCCAGCGGGCTCGCTGGGGCAGGCGCCGTTGCCGTGGCGTGCTGGCGCCTCGCGGGCGCCCGGATCGCGGTTGCGGGGGGCGCGACGCCTCGCCCGGCCGCGTCTGGCGTCGCGCCAGGCGACGTCATCGGGGTGCACTACAACGTTGGGGGAGCGGTGCTCGTCCACGAGAGGGTGGTCGTGCTGGCGCCGCCTGGGCAGCCTGGCGCTGCGAGCATTGCAACCCCCGACGGGGACGAGTACGACGAAGTGTACGTGGGCTCGGCGGACGTCCTCCGGTGAGACATATTTCCAGGGGGCGCCGCGGGCGGCACCATGCCGTGGGCTCCTGGGGCGCGCTACTACAGGTTCCGCAGCCTGCCGACGCCGGCCACGTTGCTGACAGCTGCGGCGGCCGCGGCCGGCTGCCTTGGCCTCCCAGCTCCTGCGGGGCCCATCGTGCCGAACGCGGCTTGGCGAGTGATCGCCGCTGCGGCCGCTGCAGCTCCTGGCGGGCTGGCGCCCCCTGTAGTGGGCATTGCTGCTGCGCCAGCGACTGGCGTTGCAGCGCTGGTGGCGGCCCTCGGGGGTCCTGCGGCGGCGCCAGGTGCTTCAGTGCCTCTTCCGCCCGCGGCGGCGGCCCCGCCTGGTGGCGCACCAGCGGCGGCCCTGGCGTCCGCGCCTGCGCCCGCGCCTGCGCCCGCGCCCGCGGCGCCGCTGCCCGCGGCGCCCGTGGCCGCTGCGGCAGCAGGCCCCGAGGCCGATTCGCGAGTGCAGCCAGTGCTGTACAACCCCCTGGGCTCCAGGAAGGTTGGCTTCGGTGAGGCGGTGACGCGACTCGTGAAGCACCAGTGGCAGGACTGGCCTATCTCCGGCCCCAGCACCACGTTGTGGGGGTGCCAGTTCATCAAGGACAACGGCATTTCTCCCTTGGGACGCCACAGCAAGTGGCGGTCGGAGGGCCGTCTCGCCCAGACAGATTCGGCCGTCGCGGAGCATGAACGTTGCTGCTTCTACTTGGAACAGATGGTCTGCTTCGACCAGCTGAACGTCCTGGAAGTTGCGGCTGCAGAGATGGTTTGCCGCAGCATTCTGGTCCAGTGGGAGAGGTGGCGGGAGCGTTTCATCACGAACGCCGACGAGTCGCTCGACTCGCACCTCTTCCACGACACCTCGGCGAATCGGGGAAACGTTTGCGTGCATCCCTAGCTTTTGGCCTACGTCAGCGGCGAGCTGACGAAAGAGTACGCGGTGGCTAAGGATCCGAGGCGCAAGGCGAGAGAGGAACGCCAGAACGCCCGCGGCCCCAACGACAAGGACAAGAAGGGCGGCAAGGACAAGGATAAGGACGAGACAAAGGGGTGAACCGGAGCGCGCGGCGGGACGTGGGGCCACCTGCCGCCTCGAAGCTCGAGCATCAGGCCCTTTTTCGCGGCGTGACTGCCGCCGCTGGTGACCACCGTCGCCGGGATCTTTTTTCCGCTACCTCGCGTGGCCCGCCGTGCTGTTCGCGCGGCCGATCGCCGCCCATGCCGGGCTGTCCGCCAGCGGCTGCGCCGCGCCGACGTGCTTCCGGATTGGGCCGACGACGGTGTGGGCGCGCTCAACAGCCTGTACGGCCATTCTGGTGAACCTCCTTCGGCGCTCGACAACCTGGGGCAGCAGACCAGCTTGAAGTTTTGAGAGGACTGCTACATGGGCGCGATGCCGAGTGATCCGGGTTTTTGCGAAGAAGCCCTTCGCGAGCTTCTCAGCGCCTCCACCGTCTACTCCGACGACGGCGGCGCCCGGGTCCCGTGCTCGAAGGATCTGGTCTCCTGGCCTGAGGTGGGTTCCAGCCCGACGGACCTTTTGGGCTGCCTCACTCAGGATGATGCTGACTGGGCACGGGACTGGCGACATAACTTGCTCAAGACGCCCGACGAGGCGCTTCTCGGAGCCCGACAAGCTGGCCCCCGTGGACCTTGCGTTGACCCTCGGTTGGCTCGGGATCCAGTTTTGCACGGTGAGTTTGTTCGGCGGCTTCAACAATGTGGGATGCTGCGCTCCAAGACGGCCTCCACGTCCAAGCACGTGATTTGTGTTTTTTTTTTTCGTCAGAAAGAAATCTGGGAAGCAGCGCGTCGTCTTCGACGCGCGCTACGCGAACGCCTTCTTCCATCTCGCTCCTCCGACGCGTCTGCCAACCGCGGCCGCGGTCTCTGCGATGGAGTCGGGCGACCGGCCGCTGTGCGTTGCGAATGGGGACCTGGACAGTGCCTTCTACCGTCTGCGGCCCATGTCGGATCTGGAGGATTATCGAGGACGCCGGCGGCGCATCACCGGCCGCTCCCTGAGAGTTTGTCGAAGTGGGGCGGAGCGTCGAAAGTCGTGACGCGGCGCGTATGCCAGCTATGAAATGGCCGTCGGGCCATCCCGTCACCGCGTTTGGATTGTGGGGCAGAGTCCTCATGGACTCTTCTTGGAGTGTCTTTGGAGGACTTTGTTTTTTTTGGGGACAGTTTGGGGGTTTCCTGGGAGCCTCTTGGGGCCCTCCTGGGGATTCATTGGGGCTGTCTTGGGTCCTCTTCTGGACTTCCTGGGGGCCTCTTATGCCGTCCTGGGGGGTTCTTGGGGCGGAAAGCTCGAAATGTCCCTTCGGGTTCCACTCTGGGCCACCTTTTGGGGCCGGCCCGGGGCTCTCTTGGGATGTCCCGGGGGCTTCTGGGGCCATCTAGATGCCCTCTTGGGCCAGCCTGGACCTTCCGTCTTGGGGCGAGTTGGGGGGTCCAGGGGGATGGACCAGGACGAGGACGAGGACGAGGGCGAGGACGAGGACGACGACGACGACGCGGACCAGGACGAGGACGAGGACCACGACGACGAGGACCAGGACGAGGACGAGGACGAGGGCGAGGACGAGGACGAGGACGACGACGACGACGACGACCACGACGACGACGACGACGACGACGACGACCACGACGACCACGACGACCACGACGACCACGACGACCGCGACGATCTCAGTGCCCCCTCCGACGATGACGACGATGACGACGACGACGACGACGATGACGACGGCGACGGCGACGGCGACGGTGACGGCGCCATGACGACGACCCAGCACAGCGTTTCGTGGCCCCATAGACAGCTCCGTTTCCAGATCCAGATCCGGGCGACGCGGAAAAATTGCACCAGGTTGTTTTACGGCGTGTCCGGCCTCCAGGGGCCGTCTCCCGGCCCGGGGGGCCCTCAAGGAGGCCGCGGGGGCCTACAACAGCTTATGGTCCGGCGCTGTTTCGGCCCAAGCCTGTCCGGCTCAAGCTGGATGGGACGGTTTTGCGCTGCGACCTGGGTGGCGACCTCAGGCGCAGGAAAATCCATCGCGGTCCGCGCGACCTCCCAGCGCAGGACCGGGACCTGACCTACGCGCAAGGTGCCGCTGGAGACAACAACATGGTCTTGCTCAGGAGCGACGGCACTGCCATAACATGCGAATTCCCTGCGCTGGTTGCGGACCTGACGTGCACGCGGGCTGCCGCTGGATATCCAGCTGCCTGCGGCAAGTCCCGCCACCGTGCCAGTTCAGCATGCTCGGCGGCTCTCGTTCGAGGGGGCACGGGAGGCCGTACTCGCGAGGGATGAACAACATGATAACGATGATGATGACGACGATGATGATGTTGATGCTGATGCTCATGTTGATGCTGATGCTGATGCTGCTGATGATGATGATGATGCTGGTGATGACGATGATGATTATGATGATGATGCTGATGATGGTGATGACGATGATGATGCTGATGATGGTGATGACGATGATGAATGATGATGATGCCGATGATCGTGGGGATATCGTGGGAGGCCTCTCGTGTGCCTGTTGGCGGCAGTTTTGAGGCCTCCTGGGGGCCGTCTCGGGGCCTCTTGGGGGCCTCTTGGGGGCCTCTTGGGAGCCTCTCCGGGCTTCTTGGAGGCCTCTTGGGGTCTCCTGGGGGCCTCTTCGGTCGGAAGGCCTGCATTTTCGTTTCGTGTTCCCCCTCTTGGGCTCTCTTGGGGCCGTCTTGAGGCTCTTTTCGGTTGTCTTGGGCGCCTCTTGGGCCGTTTTGAGGCCCTCTTGGGCCGTCTTGGGACGCCACTTTGGGCATCTTGGACGCCATGAAGAGCGCCAGGGACGTGTCTGGGAGCCTCGGGAAAAGGGGGCGCTACCAGAACGCACTTGGCAGTCTAGCACGCCTCAACGTGCCAGGGGGCACGTTGGCGGATTACCACATCGTGCTGCCCAGGAGCGACGGCAGTACCGTGACATGCGCCCTCCCTGCGATGGTCGCGGACCTGACGGACACGCACATCGTGCTGCCCACGAGCGACGGCCCTGCCGTAACATGCGACCTCCCTGCGCAGGTCGCGGACCTGACGTACACGCGCGCTACCGCTGGTTACCACATCGTGCTGCCCACGAGCGACGGCACTGCCGTAACATGCGACCTCCCTGCGATTGTCGCGGACCTGACCTACACGAAGGCTGCCGCTGGATATTGCCACATCGTGCTGCTCAGGAGCGACGGCACTGCCGTAACATGCGACCTCCCTGCGATGGTAGAGGACCTGACGTACACGCAGGCTGCCGCTGGATATTGCCACATCGTGCTGCTCAGGAGCGACGGCACTGCCGTAACATGCGACCTCCCTGCGATGGTCGAGGACCTGACGTGCATGAAGGCTGCCGCTGGATATTGCCACATCGTGCTGCTCAGGAGCGACGGCACTGCCGTAACACGCGACCTCCCTGCAATGGTCGACGACCTGACGTACACGAAGGCTGCCGCTGGATATTGCCACATCTTGCTGCTCAGGAGCGGCGGCACTGCCATAACATGCGACCTCCCTGCGATGGTCGCGGACCTGACCTGCACGAAGGCTGCCGCTGCATATTGCCACATCGTGCTGCTCAGGAGCGACGGCACTGCTGTAACATGCGACCTCCCTGCGATGGTCGAGGACCTGACGTACACGAAGGCTGCCGCTGGATATTGCCACATCGTGCAGCTCAGGAGCGACGGCACTGCCGTAACATGCGACATCCCTGAGATGGTCGAGGACCTGACGTACACGCAGGCTGCCGCTGGATATTGCCACATCGTGCTGCTCAGGAGCGACGGCACTGCTGTAACATGCGACCTCCTTTTGCTGGTCACGGGCCTCACGTACGCGCAGGCTGCCGCTGGAAGGTGCCACATTGTGCTGCTCAGGAGCGACGGCACTGCCATGGCTTGCGGCAAGATTGATCACGGTCGGTGCGGCATTTCTCCGTTGATCGCGGGCCTGGCCTGCACGCAGGTTGCTGCCGGAATTTCCGACACAGTCACGCTCAGGAGCGATGGCACCGCCGTGGCCTGCGCCTACAATGATCACGGACAGTGCGAGTTTCCTGCGTTGAACGCGGGCCTGACCTACACGCAGGTTGTCGCGGAAGGGAATCGAAGCCGCCTGCGGCGGACCACCGCTGCCTCCCCCCTTTTTGGAAACGCCCAGCTGTCGGGTTATGTGTTCCCCAAGCTGTTGAGGAGTCCTCGGTGCTATGGTGTGGACTCGGGGCCATCTAAGGGTGCCGGCTGGAATCCTCCTGGAGCCTTCTTGGCACGACGTTGCCAGTAGCTCGGGGGGGGGGGGCTCATATCGGGGGGGGCTCATATCGGCCCAGGGAGCGCCGAGACGGCCGTCCTGGCGGCCACAGACGGTCCACCTATAACCCAAGACGACCTCCAGGGGTCTCCGACGGTCCAAGAGAGCCTGAAGACACCTCCAGTGACGCTCAAGACAGCCCCAGAGGGCCCGCACGCCTCCGACCAGCCAAAAACTTCCACAAACCGAGCCAGAAATCTATCATTTTTGCCTTCTCGCCTTGTCGCCTCCGATGTGCTGCTGAGAGAAACCTTCCAAATACTCCCCAATAGGCCCCATAATGCTCTAGCGGAGCCGCCTGGGAGTTCCTGAGCGGTTTTTTCGATGCGTCCAGGTTCTCATGGCCCCAGGAGCTTTCCTTCGCCCGCGACGCGTTGAGGGCGCTATGGGGGACTTCGAGGCAGGAACGAGCAGGAGGAAGAGCAGGCTAAAGAGCGGGAGGGGCGCGGAACGGCGAGAGAGAGAGAGGGAGATAGACAGACGACGGAAACACGAAGGGGGAGAAGTGGTGCGGAGGACGTACACGTGTCATGCATCTGTGCACAGCTCTGAAATCAGAATGGGCTGTCTGTGTGTACATGTGAGTGTGAGTGAGTCTGGATGCGAGTTGTTTTGAGTGTGAGTGAGTATGAGTGTAATTAGTCTGAGTGGGAGTGAGTATGAGTGTGAGTGGTCGGTGTGTGAGTGGGTCGAAGGGTAGGTGAGGCTGAGTGTGGGTAAGTCTGCGTGTGAGCGAGTGTGTGTTTGAGTAAGTCCGAATATATGTTGATATGAGTTGCGCGAGGGAGGCGGCTGAGTGAGTGAGTGAGTCGGTTGGAGGCGTCCCAATAAGAACAATAATCCTATCTCAGGAAACCGGAAAATCCACGACGTCGGAGTTGTGGAGCACCTTCGCGGGAAGAGCCCAGGGGAGAGTCGAGGGGTCAGCCGCATCTGGGATGTCGGGCCGTCTTCAGGCCCCTCCGGGTCCTCTGAAAGCCTCTTGGAGCCTTCATGTACCTCCTCTTCGGGCCTCCTGGGAGCTTCGTTGGGCTCCTTTTTTAATATTTTTGAGTCCCTCTTGGGCCCCCTTTGGGATCATCTTCGGCTTGTCCTTACGCATATTGGCTCTCTTCGAGCCTCTCTTGGGGCCCTCCTCGGCGCGCCCTCGGAATCTTCTTGGACCGCTCTTTCGAGTTCCCCTACAGCGTCTTGTCGGGAATCGTCTGTGCTCAGTCCCTGCTTCTTCATACTTATTCACCCCATGTGCGAACCATCTGCAGGTGACTCGTGACGTTGCATGTGTGCGTACGCTTCTGCACGCAATTGAGACACTGTGAAGGGCTGGGGCTTCCTAGAATCTAAGAGAGCGCGAAGCGCGCGCGTGGCTCTAGTTCAAGCTTCTCAGAGCTATGAGGCCCGTGAATGGGACGTCGGATTTTGACGGTTGCTGCTACTGGCCGGCGCTTGGCGCGGACCTTGCCTACACGCGTGTCGAAGGCTGCCAAACCCGCCGTACCGAGTGCGACAAAGAGTTGGCAGGTACACGCATGGAGTTGTACGTGAAAACGTTGAGAGGCAGAACCATCAGGATCGAGGTGAGGTGTGACGACACCATCGTCGCTGTGCAGCTAGCTATCATGCGCAGAGAAGGCATCCCACTGCGCCTGCAGCGGCTGGTGTTTGCTGGACGCGCGCTCCAAGACGGATCGCCTATCCGGGAGGGTTGCAATGTTCATCCCGGCTCCACGCTGCACCTCGTGCTCTTCCTGCTTGGCGGCATGCCCACGCACGCCCTCCATCCACAGGGGGAAGCTGGCGCTGTTGTCCAATGGTTGGAGACGGTGGGCCCGGGAGCGTCTGCCGATGCTCTTGAGCTGCGGGGTTTCTGGTTACGTGTGAAGGAAGAGCGAGTCAATAAAGAGAACGCCAGAGGGTTAGTGAAGGACCTTGGTGGGGGCATCAAATTCAGGAGGGGCGCCGGGGGCCGCGATGACGCTTTTAAGGCGCCGGCTGAACTGTGGGCAGAGTGCAAAGAGATCGTGCTTACGAGAGCTGCGGCGGAAATGCGGAAGACGTTACCCTCGCATTTGGCGTGGATGAAGGCTCCTGCGTTCGGCGGCTACTCTGGGGCGCCTTTTGAAGAGAGGCTCACATCTCTGGCAGCCACAGGTTTGTTGACGTGCGATGCGTGCCATCGACAAAACGTCTACCCAGGGCACGCCCATGCGGCTGCCGCCCACTCAGCGCAAGGGTGCATTCACACGATTGAGCTCTCCAAGAAGGAGTGCATGAACGCAACCACCGGGGGAGCGCCGAAGCAGAAGGGCCAGGGCATCGTCCAGCCGTCATCAGCAATGCAAGTTGCCCGGAGGGCATTCCAGGCCCTTGCGCCCGAAGCGCGGGCAGCGCTCTTGGCAGAGCTCCTCGCAGGTGCCCCTGGCGACCCGAATGTGCAACCTGAAGAACAAGAGCCTGCACCTCCGGCTGCCGCTGCCGAAGGCGATGAGCTGGTACCGCGCGGGAATGCATTGTTCCCGGATGGGTTCAGCGTTGCCAGGGGCGTGTTCGTGCCCACGCCTGCTGCCTTGGACGCGAACTTCTTACCAGGTTCTCCCATGGCGTACACGCCCGGCGCGCTGTCCGCCCGGGCGTCCGGCGACGGCTGGTTCATCACTGACACCTTCCACAGCCGCTGCAAAACTATGGTCCACTTCTTCCAGCTCCGCGATGACTTGAGCGCGCTGACGGGCGCGCAACGGGAGCTGCTCACGATGGACATGGCGTTGTTTAAGAGGGTGAATCCACGATCTCGCCTGGACGCCAAAACCACCGGCTGGGTGTACGACTACTACCAGCACCACATCAGGGCGGCGAAGAGCAAGCCGCTTTTCGACAAATCGCAGCTGCTCTGTGATTTGCTGGTGAACGCAATGGTTATCAGGAATACGTCATCGGACGCCGTGCGCGACGCCATTCGGTGCAAAGCGTGGCCGTGGTTGACTGTGGACATGCCGAGAGGGGAGCTGGCGAACTGGTCTGAGTTAGATGCGGCGTTCCTGCGGCTGGGGGGAGATATCTTCGGCGGGTACGTGAATCCCATGCGCCGCCGCAGCGAGAACCCCGATGACGGGTACGTGTGGCTCTGCTTAGAGTTGGAAGGGTTCGCTGCGGCGGCGCCCTTCCTGATCCGCCGCTTCGTGAGTGACCGGAGCCCGAGTGCGCTGCTGGGCAAGAACGGCTCTGCCGGGCTCCCTGGCAGCGGGTTGCGGCGCATCCGCGGCTACGGCGGCAGCGGCTTCAGAAGCAAGGAGGTGCTTTGCGATTTCATCGACAACATTAATTGTCTTTTTTCACCTGGCGAATACGAAGGGATCGTGAAGGAGTATATGGAGATCATGGTGATTGGCGTGGGACCGTGCAGGGCGGCGAACTATTTGCTCGGGCGCCCGTTTTTCGATAACGAGAAGCTCCCGCCGGAGAAGAAGGAGCCGATGTATCCACGAGCCTCCGGCGCGCCCCGCCGCGCGCCTCCGCGCCGAGGCCCAAGTCTCCCGCGTAGCATTTCTTGGCCGCGCCCCCCCCCTCTCCCGCGCGGGAGTTAATTGAGAGTGATCCGATCCCCATGACCCGGCAGCGTCCAGTTCTGGTTCGGCGCCGTCCAGTCAGGGCGCGCGCCATGCATGGTAGGGTCTGGGCGCCAGCAGTGGCACGAACGGCCGCGTCGGGCTGCGCGTCCACCCGCAGGCTGCTCGGCGTGCGCCATCGGCTCCGGTCATGGGTTGCGAGCAGCGTGTCCTCCGAAGGATTGCGGCGCCAGGCGCATATCTCTGAGGGGGCGCTCGCGAGCAGCTGTCGCGGGGGTGGGGATCGGATTGCCGATGCACAGGTCTCGGGCCCGCGCGCAGAGAAACGAGCGCAGCCCGGTCGAACGCGCCAGCACACGCGCCACGGGCGCGTCCGCGGACATGGGCGCGCTGGGGTTCATCTTGGCGTACTTGAGAAAAACATTCCGAGAGCGTTACGCGGGGCCATCATGGACGAATCTCAATATTTTATACGAGCTGTGCGAGTATAGCAAGGCGCTCTTCGCTTGGTATTTTGACGGGGGGCGATTATACACAGCCGCCGTGGCGGACCCGGCCCGTGGGCCTGCGCTGAGCACTCCGCTGGATGAGTTCGCCGAGCGCAGGCGGCAGGCCGTCTCATTGAAGCGGGAGGTGAAGAGAGTCCCAGTGCCAGTGCCCTGGCCCGTCGACGAGGGCGATGACGATTTGGCAGACGGTTGACGGCGCCACGCGCAGCCGCGTGGGACTTTCTTCAAGCATGAGACACATCTGGCGCATCAGGAGTACAGGGCGCATCAGCACACAAAACAAAAGAAGTGCACTGGCACATAAGGCATGCGGGACGCAGCATATGCACTAAATAACCCATGCGCACGGGGGAGGCGCGCCGAGCGCACGTCGGGGGGGTAGGTTTCGTTGGTTCTGTACTGTTCTACAACAGAGCATTCTGGTACCCTTGAAAGGGATGCGGTGAAGCAGCAAAGGGGTGAGGTAGGAGCGGGGCTGGGCGCTTTCGTGCCACAGTCAGACAGACCCGGGTCGCCTGGCCGGTGCCGAGGGGCAGTGCTGGAAGGGCCTCGCGCGTCGAGACATTCTCAACCTGTTGACGTGGTTCCGCCCGTTTTGCATAAGACATCCTCGCAAGTCTGCGTTCCGATAGGACCAGGTCTGAGATGGTCCAGGCCCTTTTGCCCGGGACATTCTGGCAGTTCCCGCCTCTCCTTCTCCCCGTCTTCGCCCCTCCTTACCTGTCTTCCTCCTCCTCCTCCTCCTCCTCCTCCTCCTCCTCCTCCTCCTCCTCCTCCTCCTCCTCCTTCTCCCAGCGCCCCTGGAATCTTGGCGGGGACGTCGCACCTGCTACCGGCCAGAGGAGG